TTCCAATTAAAAAATTATTTGATGTTATTAAAAGTCATTAATTTTCAAGTTAATTCATACATACATTTCCCATTTACAGTACAAATTTATTTAAACTGCTATAGATCCCTTATCAAGTGAATTTTATTCACATGATTTATATTTCTTATACATTCATCTCACTTTAATTAGATTTTGCAATTATAAGACCAAAGCATATAGTACACTGAAATTGGGAAATACAATGAGATTAAATCAATAAACAAATCTGCTGAATGAGTAACAATAGCTAATAGTAAAATTTTAAGAGACTATGACTGCGAATGATTGATGGAATGAATAAATAATAATAGTAGTTAGATGAATAATGATAATAAAGATTAATAATATAATAATTCTATAAGTCATGCAGAATGAATAATAATAATTAGAAAATAACAGTGATAAAGTAAAATAACAAAGACTGGAATTCCCAGACAATGGTCCACTTTGCCATCTATGTTGAACTTGGGGGGTACAGCCATGATAGCACTTTAAAATAACTTGACTTGTCTCTTGACTGCATGAAGGCACACTGAGCTAATTTTGAGTGTGTTGACTGCTCAGTAGTTAGATCTAGTAGTAGTCTGTTTTCTCATTATCACAGGCAATGGCTGCATGTTTACAAAAGTTGAAGAGAATAGCCTGGATATCAGCTTATCTGTAGATCTCAACTGTCATAAAACACAGGCTAATATTATCGACATAGTGATCATATGCATCAGCTTACCTGCATGTACTGAAACTGCAAGGATGATAAAGTTCCTATCAAAGACTCAAATAGAGCTGATAATATTCTCTCCTGATGCATAGCTATCATTCTTGCAAAAAGATCCGTATAGTTTCCGTGTTGTTCCGTACTTCAATACAGATCCGCGAGCGTTCCGCGTTGATCCGCATTTCAGCCTGATCCGCATTTGATCCGCGTGGATCCGCATTTCAGGCAGGCCCAAATATAAGGTAGGATATTTATGGTCCTGTCGGGCCGCATCAGTCCGTCCGTCCGTCCTTTTCGGGCGGGGCGGGTCCGTCCGTCCGTCCGCTTTTGAGACCCTACCATACATTCTTGCCACTCAAGATGGCCGACAGGAAGCTCCGCCTCCCCCGTTGATTACATCCGTGCAACAGCTCTATGGCCAGTAATCTAAAGACTTGTAAGTTAGCACTTAACAGCTTCTAATTTACTTTAATTTGTTTACAGGTATTAGGATTAGGTCCAAAGCGCAGGTTAACGAGCTTAAGTTTCATGGACACTTGTGCTGCGGTCCCAGTCTTGAAGCAATAGTCACTCCATGGTGTCCTCTGGTACCACAACTTGCCCCACCTCCACGGCACTCAGTGCCTTACATGCAAATGCACTTGATGAAAGAGTCCAGGAGTGATACTGTTGATGGCATATATCAGATATACAAAGATAGAGATAAACTTGAAGTTCTCTTCATTATTGCTAGAGAGGAGCAACAGCAGCCATTCTCAACTCCAGATCTTCGTTTTAGGATTATATATATTTCAAGGAGATATAAGAAAGATGTACTGGAGCTGGCAGAGAAGGCAAGCGATCTCGAAGTTACAGTCAATATCACAGAGTCTAAGAATGAAGGTAAATACATGTACATATGCATTCAATGTATTTA